TTCCGCTGAATGATTATTTGAACTATTCCTCACATCGGGAATGAAAGTGAAAATGTCATTAGAGATCTCATCGTTGACGTGAGACTTGTTTCCAAAGAGGGTATTGGCAACGATGTCGTAGAAGGCTTATCAAAAGATAAGGCAATAGACCGCTTCACACGTTTTGGCACTGTTTTGATGCCGGAACCAGCATCATCGTAAATGATGTCCTTGTCAACGAATGAATGCCTTTTATAAGTGACTGATATATGGCTATAATCGGTGGTAGAGGCAATGCTTTTATAAGGCTTTTTCTCAAAATCCTCAACGTTTTTGTCTGTAAACTTAATATGTTTTCTACATTGTTTGTCCCATACTGTCCGCTTTCTACATTGTTTTTCCTGTTATGTTCATTTTCTTCATCTATTACCCCGTATTGTTCGTTTTCTACGTTGTTTGTCCTGAAAGGTTTTTCTCGACCAGGTAGCATCTCCACTGTAGTCTGTTCCAGAAATCTGTGGAAACCTCGGTACGGGAGCTCCTCATTGTCCGGTCCACCTTCGGGCCGCAGATCCTCGTAAGTGTTAAACTGGAAACCAGTGAACGAGCTGTGCCCCCAGCTTGGGAAAGTATTCACATTATTACCATCATTAAGATGTTTTCATAGAGCGGTGTGGGTATACGAAGCACGTCTAATGTTGGAATTACCTGAAGGTCAGTTTCAGGTGCATCCTTTACTTGAGACATGCCAAGCTTTTCTGTTATTGTCCTTCTGGTTATGACCACTGTCATGATATTTCTTGTTTACGATCGTGCTTTCTTGATGATTCTGGACAGTACTGACTTGAAAATCGTTAGACATAACCTCATTATTTTGTGTGTATCGCGGGTCACCTGTAAACTCCTCCTGGTCTTTGATAAATCGTGTATGCCTATTGTATCCTTCCACTTTGTCTTGTTCATTGTAATCTATCTTCTTCTTGCGGTCGCCTTTGTTTTTGTGTTGAGAGCATGCCCTGTTTATTAAGTGTATTTTTCTGAACACTGACGTCTTCTCCGTCAAATGCCTTAAAAGAACTGCCACGTTTCCTTTCATTTGGTAATAGTTCCATTATCATGTCTCTTTTCCAGCTCTCACCATTGCTTCCCTCATATTGTCTGCGCTTTGTATACTTGTCTTTTCGGCGCGAAATTATTTCTTTGGCAACATATGGATGTGTCTTAAGATTGCAACCATTACAAATGCTACTAATTTGGGACACTGGCTCCGATATTAACCTACGATTAAGAGTGGACAGGAGTCTTTTATAACCGCTCCTCGCGGTGCTATGTTGAGACCTGCTGTGACCTAGCCCTGACCGGAAGCTGTTGTTACTAAGGTGTGAATGGTTTGCCGGGAACTTGCTGCGTGGCCACCAACTCAAAGTCCTTTTCACGATAAACAGTTTAGTCCTACGCTGAGATTCTGATAGAAATCTCCGCTTGATTGCTCCTTCATTAGGCGGTTGATTGGACGCTCGATTTCCTTGGTCGTCGGGACCCATGGCTGTTGTGTGCATGTCGGGAGATTCTTCGCTAATAATGGTGTTTTTATTTTCATCAATCTTACCCGATCCAATCGTGTGCGTTTGGTTGTTTTTGAGTTGTAAATGGTGAATTTTGTCATGATTTGCATCAATCTGGAAGTTATCAGATACATGTGAAAAACGTGTGCCAAACACTTCCGTATGTAACGAACTTGTTGGTATGTATACGTCTCTTGGATTGTAAACTGTTCTTTGGTTTTTCGATGTAGTCGAGTCTTTTAGAAAGTTGCTGATGTTTCCTTCAATTTTCGCGTGCAAAGTGGATATAGAACTGGCTGGAGAAATGGAAGCTGTGGGGACATTTCCAGGAAGCTTACCATCATCTGCGCTTGAATGGTCGGCAAGCTGGAGAGAACTGTTGATGTCTAATGGTACATACTTCTCAGCTGTTGGTGTTCTTGACTCAGTTCTTTCCCTTAGCATTGTTGCGTATTGTGCCCTTTCAGAAAAACGATCCTGATCACTGCGTTTATTTCCCAGATCAGAAGTAAATAGCGATTCACTTTCAATGGTGGCGATGCCAAAATGAGCTTTCTTTTTGAGATCTGGAAGGTTTTTCTCAGCAAAAACATGGTCATGTTGTAATGATGTTTGGAGATACAATGCGACAGCAAGAAAGGCAATATGCCTTACACAGAAACACATCTCGTTAGTCAACAGGGCATAGAGATGAGACAATATTTCAAATGTATTCTTCCAACTACGAACAATGTGACACTTCAGAAAGTAGATAAGCGAATATTGAACAAACAGCAAATGCCCTGTCCAACATGTTTCCGTCTGCATCAATGTATATCATCTCTGCTTATGTCAGCCACCCAAGAAAATGAATAAAACATTTCCACACACTTCTCACACTGGCCGTCAAGGACAATGTTTGTCCAGGTGTATCCCACACATCCCACACAATGGCACCAGCTCCATCATAAAAAGAGAATCGTTACATCATCTCTGGAAATTCATTTGCTTTCAAATCCAGTTAATCTAGCCTCCTCCTCGCTATCTATACATCCTGCCCGTGTATCTATTTCTGCGCCGATAGAAAACTGCACGAGAAAGCTCGTTATTAATCATGATGGATGTTCAGATCATTCGGACAGACAATGCCCATACCATTGCTTTACTTGCTCTCATTGGAACACTTTTTCCCCATCTCATTTCACGGCATTATTATTTTCTTCATTTTCTCCCGCTGTCACTCCCAGCTATTGCGCTGCAGTTGATGATATGTAATTATTGAGGTATTGACTTTATATTTTTTTTTTCGGATAGAGTTTACCCAGTTATTGTTTACTGGATATAAAGGTGAGCTCTGAACTTATTTGTTTTGTACCGGTTAGAAGTCTTGTCTCCATTATTATGTTTGGTTAGAAATCTTTACTTTAAAGCTGTGTGCTAGCTAGATGTCTTGGCTTTATTGGTTTCTACTAATGTAAGGTTTAATTAATATCAAACACTGTTTTAATTGTCTTGTTTCCCAAAAACGAACAGAAGACGAGGCCCAACACATTATTTGGCAGTTTTCAAAAGACTGTCGTAACTTGCAACATCACTTTGTGCATTAATCACACAGGGGTCTGTTTTTGAAGTAAATGCAACGATTTCTTGATACCAACATATCACTGGCAGTCTTAATACTCAAAGTTACGACCAACGTAGCGAGGATGATTTCAATACATCATACACAGAATTGTTAAATAACTAGGTTTTCGCTCCATTTTTTTTTCATTGAAATTATTCCTATGTGTTTATGTGACTAATTAACCATATCATTGGGGTTTTGTTACATCAAACACTGAGTACTGTTTTAATAATGTTACACTGATTTCTGCACACCATCTGATTAGGGACAGTTTTTTTTACGTTAAATGTAACCTCTACAATGTCTGGTATAGACTGTTAATTACAAGGTGCTACCACGATATTTCGATACCAACACATCATTGGCGGTTTTCATTACAGTATTGTAACTTTCGACATCTCTGCTATTTTTAACGCTTCACTCGTGGATTGATGTTTTATAATAACTGCCGATGATTTCTACATTAAAACACATTAGACAAATGATACTTTTAACGCATCACGGAAACTTTTCATTTAAATACGGGAAAACGGGCATTCGACTTTGTGAAAAGTTTAAGTTGAGTTTTTGCCACGAAACTAAAAGATTTAAATGGTAAACTGCTTAACGTAAAATTACTAGGTGAAAACCACAAACTACGAAAACCTGGAGTTGGTTTCGGATGTCCTGAGGAGGTTTCGTAAGGACGTTAACATGAACTGACAACATTAAACTTAGTCAAAACACTTCGGCAATAGTTTAGGTTTCAAACTAGAACTGTTCAATACTGTGCTATCCAAACATCAGAAGAGGCAACCCAGTGTGCATTAAGAGGGTATTTCCAATGGGATAGTTTCCAACATATCGCGGCTAAAATCCAAACATCACTGATGTTGTTAACAAATCATCGAAAGCATCCAGTCAGTCACCGCTATACAGTTCCAAGCCTGAGTAAACAAGTGCACACGTAAATTCTATTATTTTAACAAAACAGTCGAGGTATTAATTGTAAAGTTTAAACTAGTGCCTCAAAAATGAATATCAGTTTTCTCAGGCCACAGACTGTAAAACACGAGTATCTTTAATTTGCAGTTATACTGGCCCATTTTCAACAGTATTCCTTGACAATAGACGACTGCCCCCCCCCCCCAAAAAAAGCCCCTCCCTCCCCCCCCCCCCTACGCCACGGCCCTTAACCAGTCTATAGATGGCCCAAAGCTGTAATATTGAATAACATTAAATCAACTTATCTAAAGCGGAGCTGGTGTGATATCTTTATAAATAGTGTCTTTATACTGAAATAGACAATACAAAAATCTTCTTCTTCTTCTTCTTCTTCTTCTTCTTCTTCTTCTTCTTCTTCTTCTTCTTCTTCTTCTTCTTCTTCTTCTTCTTCTTATTCTTCTTCTTCTTTTTCTTCTTCTTCTTCTTCTTCTTCTTCTTCTTCTTCTTCTTCTTCTTCTTCTTCTTCTTTCTTCTTCTTCTTCTTTCTTCTTCTTCTTCTTTCTTCTTCTTCTTCTTCTTATTTCTTCTTCTTCTTCTTCTTCTTCTTCTTCTTCTTCTCTCTTTATCTTCTTCTTCTTCTTCTTCTTCCTTCTTCTCTTCTTCTTCTTCTTATCTTCTTCTTCTTCTTCTTCTTCTTCTTCTTCTTCTTCTTCTTCTTCTTCTTCTTCTTCTTCTTCTTCTTCATCTTCTTCTGCTCTTCATCTTCTTCTTCTTGTTCTTCTTTTTCTTCTTCATTTTTTCTTGTTTTTCTTTTTCCTTTACTTCCTTCTCTTCTTCTTCATCTTCTTCCTTTCATTCATTCTTTCTTTCTTTGTACTTTCTTCTTCTTACTTACTTTCTTTTTTTTCTGTCTTTATTTCTTTCCTTCT